GAATTTAGAGATCATCTAAAGAACCGATTTGATGCATTAAACACTAAAGAATGAAGACCAGAAGAGTTATGGGTTGACATCAAGAACATCATACAGGAAAAAAGCAAAACGTCATCAAGAAGACAACAACGAAGTCTCACCGCTGAACCAATAGACAACACCCATATAAATAGAGAAAAGACTGAAGCTGTCGAAGACTTCATTTTGCTAAGATCAACCATCAACACACATGGAAGCAGCAGTCAAGAAATTAAACAACATATTGCATTGGACAAATCTGCTGCATAACACCTCCTTTAAGCATTGTAGAGCAAAGATGTCAAGTTTGAGGAGTATGGTGCGCCTGACCCAAGCCATGGTATTTTCAGTTACCTCATATGCATGTGAAAGTTGGACAGTGAATAAGGAAGATCACAGAAGAATTGATGCTTTTGAGTTATGGTGCTGGAGGAGAATATTGAAAGTACCAAGAATCGACAAAAGTATAAACACATCTGTGCTGGAAGAACTACAGCCAGAGTGCTTTTTAGAAGCTAGGATGGCCAGATTTCATCCATCATACTTTGGACATAGTATCACGAGGAACTAACCACTGGAGAAGAATATCATGCATGGTAGAGTGGAGCATCAGAGAAAAAAAGGAAGACACCCCCAACAAGATGGACTGGGCCCAGTGGCAACAGCAATGGGCTCAAGCTTAACAACGATGTGAGGCTGGCCCAGGACAGGGCAGGGTTTCATTCTGTTGTGCACAGGGTCACTATGAGTCAGTATCAACTTGATGGCGCCTAACAACATCAACAACGAGGAATCCTGGTATACAAACGTATTTCCCACAGTTTGTTCGTCTTTTTCAGTCTAGCCATCCTAGTGCCATGGAGTGGGCATTTATTCACATTTCCCTGAAGGCAGGTGATGCTGAGCATCTGCTCACTTGCTCACTGGCCATTTGTGCAAATAGCGTCTGTGGAGAACGTCTATTCAAATCCTTGGCCCATTTTCTAATTGGTTTAGCTGACTTTTTATACAGCCTAGTAAGTTTAAAAGGAGCTCTGGTAGCATAGTGGTTACGAATCGGGCTGCTAATCTCACAGTCAGCAGTTCGAAACTACCAGCTGTTCCGCGGGAGAAAGATGAAGCTTTCTGCTCCCGTAAAGATTCACAGCCTTGGAAACCCTGCATAGGGTCGCTATGAGTCAGAACTGACTCCACGGCACACAACAGCAAGAAGCTTAAGGAGTCTGACACATACGCTATGGGATACACACGGACTGCTAACCACAGGTTGGCAGTTCCAATCTACCAGCAGCTCCTTGGAAACCCTATACAGGGTTGCTATGAGTCTAAACTGACTCAATGGCACTAACAACAAGTTTAAATGTGGATGACTAATGGCCTGGGTACTAAAGCCATGTGTACCCTTCCCTAGAACACTGTAAGGGCACAATGGTGGGAAGGCAAGCGTCTGTCTATAAGGAACCAAGTTACCCATGGTGCACACCAGACACGGACCACTGTACAGGGCCATGTGCTGGTTTGATAAGATGTCTAGTGTGCAGGTAACAACTTTGAAAACACAGCAGAACCAATGTCGAGTAGATCCCCAATTCTGTTCAGAACCCAAAGCAAAGTGCATGGTTACAGAGATCCAGAGCCCTGCACAGCCGAGGGAAGATCCTGGGCGGTGAGGCATAAAGCCTGCTGGTAGTGTGTGTGTGGGGAGGAGTGAGAAATGGAGGAAGACCTTTGCCGCCTTTCTGTGATATTTTCTGAAGCGACAGGATTATGAGCACTATTTACTTTTTTGGATCTGCTTTCCCCTATTCTTCAGGTAAACACATTTTCAGCATTACTGAAGGTGCGTTGTCGTTAAGAGCCGTTGAGTCAGTTCTGACTCATAGCGGCCCTCTACAGGGTTTCTGAGGAGCAGCTGGTGGGTTTGAACTGCTGACCTGTGGTTCACAGTGCTGATCCTACAGTGCCACACTGGAGTCCAGCACAGGTGTAGGCATTTTGAGTCTCCACGGTTCCACTGAGGCTAAATTCCAGTGGACAGGCATGAACACGTCCATTTTCCATGTGGTGGGTGAAGAGTAATGTTCTCTGTGTAAGGAGAGCACTCTGTGATCGTTTCTACCTGCGGTATGGCTCCTCCTTTGCTGAGGCCAGCCCACGAACAGGTTCATGTCACTTACGTGGTTCAGAAGATACTGCACAATGATCTCATGGCCGGCCACGGCGGCTTCCATCAGTGGTGTGAACCCGTGTACCGGCTCCCTGCAACAGGGGGGGGCCACAGTCAGAGACAAAGAGGAGAGTCCTGCCGAAGACAAAACCGATGCAACGCACACGTCACCTCTCTCTAAGGGTCAGAGGGCACCACCCTGCCACGATACCACGTGGGTTCTATCGACCCGGTAGGATAGAGTAGAAGTGTTCTGTAGGGTCTCAGAGACCACACATCTTTACGGAGGCAAACTGCCGCATTTTTCTCCTGCAGAGCAGCTGGTGGGTTTGAACCGCCGCTGTGCAGCAAGCAGACCAGGAGTCCTTGAGAAGGAGGGCAGTTCATGTCAACACAGCAGCCTCGTCCACTCTTCTGCTCTGTGTCCCTGCTGTAGCTTTCTGACCTAAGACCAATCTGTCCCCGTCTCCCCTCCTCCCAGATCTCTCCTTAGGAACGCCCCCAACCAGCCACCTGAGTCCTGTCTGTCAAGGTCCCTACAGGCTCCTAAGCTGCTGTTCACATGTGCTGTCTGTCTCCCAGATCTCTCCTTAGGAACGCCCCCAACCAGCCACCTGAGTCCTGTCTGTCAAGGTCCCTACAGGCTCCTAAGCTGCTGTTCACATGTGCTGTCTGTCTCCCAGATCTCTCCTTAGGAACGCCCCCAACCAGCCACCTGAGTCCTGTCTGTCAAGGTCCCTACAGGCTCCTAAGCTGCTGTTCACGTGTGCTGTCTCCCAGATCTCTCCTTAGGAACACCCCCAAACCAGCCACCTCCAGGGCAACTTATCTCCCAGTTATGGCTGAGTCAACCCCGTGGTAGATTGCCAGACCTTTCTTCTGAGGTGCTTCTGGGTGTGCTGGACCCTTCAACCTTTCAGTCAGCAGCTGAACGTGGTGTCTGTACCACCCAGGGGCCCTAATCTTACCTGTCCCTATTATACCTGCTCCCTAATGCTTACTTTTTTAGCTTGGCTTTGTTGTTGTTGTTAAGTACCGGGGAGTCGGTTCCGACTCATAGTGACCCTGTACAGGGTCTCCGAGGCTATAAATCTTTACAGGAGCAGAAAACCTCATCTTTCTCCCACGGAATGGCTGGTCATTTCAAACTGCCGATCTTGAGGTCTGTATCAGACCCCCGGATGGTGTGCGTGCCCCCAGTTGACAGATACAGACAACAAGACACAGACAGTTCGCAGTGATACGACCTAGGTCTCTCCCAGGCCCCATGTCTAGTGGGACCCCTCCCGCCCCGCTGCCCCCCTGACGGCTGATGAGGCCTCACCGTGTGTTGGCATTGGCCCCACTGTCCAGGAGGAACTTGACCATCTGCTGGTGTCCCGCGCTGGTACCGTGGAAGAGAGCGGTCCAGCCCTGGATGTCTTTCATTTCCAGCTCAGCACCTTGCTTCGAAAGGACACATTACCAGCTCGTTACTCCCAGCTCCCTCTCAGGCCAGGCTCTGGGCCAGGGTGCCCTGGTAGCTCACCTGGAGCAAGAAGTAGGCGATGCTCTCGTTGCCGCAGCTGGAGGCCAGCATCAGTGGTGTCTGGCCCTCTGGCGTGGGCACATTCACGCTCACTCCTGCCTCAAGCAGCAGGTGCACGATGGTGTCGTGGCCAATGTAGGAGGCGTACATCAGCGGGGTCCAGCCGCCACCGTTCTTTTTGTTCAAATCAAACTCCTTCCTAAACAAACACAAGACACACTAGCCATGTGTTGCCGTCTCCCGTGTGGGGTTCACGGTCGCAGCGGCAAGGCCAGGACAGAGAGAGACAAGGAAGGGCTGAAATGAAGCAAATACACACTCCCCACAGACACAGTCTGGGCCAGTCTTTTTTGTTGTTAGTGGCAGCTGAGTCGCCTTTTGACACACAGTGACCCCATGTGTGAAAGACCTAAGATCCAAAGGGCTTTCCTGGGGATTTTTAAGGGATCAGATCTCCCACAAAGTTGCCAGGTGGATTTGAACCACCAACCCTTCAGTTTACAGCTGAGTGCTTAACCGCTGCTCCCCACAAGCCTGCCAGGGGAAGGGGCTCATAGTGTGCAGTGTAGGTCCCTGTTCTCATTCCATAGTCTCACAGCGCCTCCTGCTGCCCAAGTTCAACAAAGCTATTTTTCACATCACAGCTAGACAGAGGGCTCTTCACTGTAGGGTGAAAGAGTCTGCCCTTGGTAACTAGTGGGTGGGGGCGAGGGATTCTGCAAAGCACTGGTCAGTGCACAGTATGCCCCCACAACACAGTTACTTGGCCTAAGTGCCCAGGCTGAGACCCCGGTACCAGAGGCTTTATGCTACCTTCCACCATCGACCAGGTTCTGCAAGGATGACAAGGAAGGAAGTTGGAAGGATCTGGACAGCGGACATGCACTGGCGCAAAGGAGTCTTCCTTTACCACCTCATCCTACAGACAGATCTGTAAAATATCTGTGACCAGAGAATCCTACTTTCTCACTGATTTCCATTAGATTCTGAAAATACACTTTCTCCCAGGAAAACATATATCAAAAACCAAGTGGCCTTCCTAGCTTGGAGTCGGCGGGGGGAACACAGAGTTGAGGACTCACATCTGCTTCCAGGGGCAGATGTTGCCCTCACCCCCATGTGCAGCGCTTGCCTCTGGAAGGCAGGGACCATAGTATGTGGCTCCAGGGGCACATAGGCCTGGGTTGGAGGACCTGTGAGCTCTGCTGGAATGCAGCCATCTCTCCTCCTTGATGAAGTACTCTACCCCTTCTTGTGGACAGGGAAAGCTGACCCTCAGCAAAGTCTGTCCAAGCTCTCCCACCGTCCCTCTGAGCCCCAGTCCTCCTCCTGATACCCTCACTCCCCTTGGGTTCCTGGCCTCCATCTCTCCCTACCAACAAGATAGACGGCTAAAACACAGAACAGAATTTCAAATTCTCATGGACTCTGGACTGTCTGGAGCCAAGGGGACTGGATCAACCCCTAAAACTAATGCTCAGAGAAAGTTTTAAAAACTTAAACCAAAAAAATCCCCTGAAGTCTAGCTGAAACAAACTAATCGTTTAGCCTAACTAGTAAAAAGTGTCTGCCTCAAGCACTGTGCTCCTTTAACATCTATCAATGCTGATGGGATCAAAAGGAGTCCTGGGGCACAGTGGTTAAGCACTGGGTTCAAAAGATCAGCAATCCAACCCCACAGGCACTCTGGGGAGGACGTGGTCTGCTTCAGTAAAGACGTAGCTTCGGAAACCCTACGGGGCAGGCCTACTCTGCCCTATGTTGTTGCTTTGTGTTGTCGATTCGGTTCCAACTCATAATGTCCCTGCGTAGGGTTTCGGAGGAGGGGCCACCTACGCGGAAGACCACCAGATCATCCTTTACCAAAAGTTACCCAGAAGCTTTTAAGTGGGGACTGGGGACCTGGGGCTCCACCGAGGCTAGGCTCAGCAGGCCCTGGGAGAAAGCAGGACTTCACTGAGATGTTGTTGTTGTTGTTGTTGTTGTTACGTGTATAGGGTTTCCAAGGCACAGTGGACACGTGGGAACATCATCCTGGTACAGACGCACATCAGTTTCCCCAGTTACAAAATCTGAGGAAACTACAAGCATGCAATTCCAAAACTCACCACAAGTATCAGAGTCATTTCATGTCTGGGGACTTAACGTGCATGAAACCAGCTGCTGCCAAGGCGACTGTGACGCATGGTGAGTATCAGTCACTGCGGCTGACTTGTTGGAAGTAGCTCGCCACACCTTCCTGTGTTGACCTCTAACCTTTCGATTGATAACTGAGTACCTAAATTTTGCCCTCTCAGGTATCCTAATATACAAGGGGCTTCAAAAAGTTCATGGAAAACATTCCATTTTCTTTTCATTCCATTTTTCTATGAACTTTTTGAAGCCCCTCCCATGCTTGTTGTCCGGTGCATCAAATCGATTCCGATTCACAGTCACCGTACAGGACAAAGCAGACCTGCCGGTGGGGTCCCCAGGTCTTTTAGCCTGAGGAGTTTCTGGGAGGGTTCCGAGTGCCAAACTTGGTTAGCAGACCAACACCTTCTCACGGCACTAGCAGGGTTCCTTTACTATACAAACAGAGACTAGTGAAATCAGCACTAGGCAGCTAGCTGGAGGCAGCCCTCCTGAGGGGAGAGAAGCCTAGTCCCTTTCCTGTGGGGAAAGAGGTCACAAGAGGAAAAGACCACAGGGTCACCAGCTTCGAACTTTTGTTTTTGTTTTAATTTGTGAAAACCCTGCACTTGCCATGTTTAAATGTAAAAACTTGAAGTGTTTATAAGCTGATAAAGAAAATGCCCATCCTCCGTTTCCTTCCCAGGCATGAAAACTGCCTGCCTTAAGTGTCCTGCATCCATCCTTCCTGACAGCGCCCAGGATACATCAGGGCGGGGGCGGTTAACTCACACATGGATGAACCTGCGGCCACATCAGAACAAGCTCGCTTACCGCTGGACACACTCCTGCCTTGAGTGTCCTGCTTCCATCCTTCCTGACAGTACCCAGGATACATCAGGGCAGGGGTGGGGGTGGGGGGGCGATTAACTCACACCACATGGATGAACCTGCAGCCACATCAGAGCAAGCTTGCTTACCGCTGGACACATTCCTGTACCACTTCGTACTGGCCGATGGAGGCTGCTGTGTGCAGATCCAAGGGGACGTCCAGCTCGTCTCGGCTGACCTGCGCACCCAGCCCATGCCACATGGACAAGCTGCGGTTCAGGAGTTCCGGCTCACTGGTCTCATCGCTGAGCTCCGACATGGCTGTGGAGGGAGGATGCGGTCAGGTCTTTCTTTCTAGGCTGTTCCATGAAATGCAACGAGATGGCAAGCTGCCTCATCACCACTACCCTAGCAGTGCCCTGGACACCACACGACCAGCTTGTACAAATTCTCCGCGGCTGTCAAGTGGATTCCGACCCGGTAGAACCGTCCCAGAGGGTTTCTGAGGCTGTGAATCTGTACGGAAGCAGACTGCTCCGTGTTTCTCTGGAGCGGCTGGTGGAGTCAACAACGGACTTTTCAGCTCGCAGCCCAGCATTTAACCCACTGCACCACCAGGGTGCCTCCTTTCATCAAATACTGTGGGTGTGGGTAGCTCTGCCATGCTCACACAGAGCAGTTTCTGACGACAGACCCCAGAAAGTGAATTCTCAGGCACTCGGAGCCTGGCAGCCTGTAGGCTGGGCAGTCAAGTCATGCTCACGTTTGGCCAAAGGGATCTTGGGCATGGTGAGGACGATCCCTAGACTTGCAGTTAGAGCGAAACTTAGATCTCAGTCACATGATCATCTCGATAGATGCTGGAAAGGTATTTGACAAAATTCTACATACTTTCATGTTAAAAAATATCTAACAAGACAGGAATAGAAGGGGAATCCCTCAGTATAACAAACAGCATTTGTGACAAACACACACAAACAGCATACTCAATGGAGAAAGACTGAGTGCTTCCCTGTTAACATCAAGAGCAAGACAAGAATAGTAATTTCAGCACCATCAGCCAACAGCACTCTGGAAGGCCTAGTCAGAGCATCAGGATGGGGCAGTGGATCACACCTCTTTACAGACAGCATGATCCTACACATAAAATCAACTCAGCAAGGTGGCAGGGTACAAGATCAACACACGAACCATTCCCATTGACAAGAATAAAATACAGACTAAACAGATAAAATACAGATAAAAGATACAGAATAAACCTAACCAAGAAAGTAAAAAACTGGTACACAGTTTTAACTATAAAACATTACTAAAAGAAATCAATCAACGACCCAAATCAATAGAAGGGCATGCTACGTTTTTGGATTGGAGATTTATACAGGAAGATGTATTGTAAATCCTACTAATCTGTGGTTCTAATTTCATTGGGAATGGGCTTTCTCTGTCATGTTAATGAGGCAGCAACAAAGCCAGCAAGAAAGACAGGGGAAGATAGTGGCCATCACCCAGGAATAAAAGCTGAAAAGAGAAAGGGACCTTCCCTTAGGTCCAATACAAAGAGCAAGTCTTCCACTGAACTGGACTTCTGGTCTCCTACACTGTGAGAAAACAAATGTGTTCGTTAAAGTCATCCACTTGAGGTATTTCTGTTATGTTGTTGTTGTTAAGTGCTGAGTGGGTTTCCACTCACAGTGACATGGTATAGGGTTTACAAAGTGCAACTGGTGGGTTTGAACTGCCAACCTTGTGGTTTGCAGTCCACTGCTGATCCACAGAGTCCATTACACACCAGAAGTCCATTACAGCAGCACTCAATAATTGAGACACTACCCAAAGTAATCTATAAATTCAATGTAATAGAAATTCCAATCGTCTTCTTTACAATAATAGAAAAGCCAATTGCCAAATTTATAAGGAAGGGCAATGGACCCCAAACAGCAAAAGTAATTTTGGAAAAGAAAGTAGGGAAGACTCATAATGAATAGGAAAAGGTAAAATCATTCACTGCCTTCTCTGCCCAGGCGTCTAGCTAAAATGCTAATCAGGTTATACTGAGTGGGACCAATCTCCCAGCCCAGGAGACAAGCTAGAATGTTAATCAGGTCACCAAAGGGGACCAATCCCCTGGTTTCCCTCCTGTCCTGCAACCTAGCCCCTTCCCGACTCTGACCCCATATAAGCCCGTGTTGTCCTCCACTGAGGACTCAGAATCTGGAGAAATTAGCTCCTCTGAGCCAGCCAGATTAATAAAATCGGAACCTCTGCTTCATCTCTCTGAGTGGCCTCGGTTTCTTCGACCACGGATCAAGAGCTGCTGTGGCACTCTTGAATCTAAAGCTGCTCTAACATTTGGTTCTCTGACTGGGAAACCGACTGTGCAGGTGCTGGATCCTTGAGCCACCAGCTCAGAGTCAGGGAGTGGCTGTTGGGGAGCTCCCCTCGGTGGACAAGATGGCATGCTACCGCCACATTGGACAGTTCTTCCTCCTCAGAGTGGAGGCAGCCAGCCACTGCACCTACTTCTCCCATCTGGACTCAAAATGCGAGGTTGGACTAGAGAATGGACCAGGCCTTTTGGAGTAGGCACGGCCCCAGGGCCTGGGTTAAACCCAGTCAGGCCTGTCCCTACGGACAGAAGTGGAGCAGCTGAAGTGTGGCCCCGTCTGTGTGGTTCCACGGCTCCAGCCACAGAATACTTAGGGGATATGGAGGCTTCTCATAGTGAGCCAGCAGTCTTAGAATGTCTGTTAACAGATTTTTTTTAAAAAAAAAAAGGGAGGTCTGGTGTGCAGGAGTGTGTGAGTGTGTCTGGTACTAGGCTGGTAGCAAATCTCATATGGCTTAGGGAGACAGTCCTCACAGCTGGCGTGGAGTGGACTCCTGGTTCGAAACTCTCCAAAATTAAGAGACGCTTGAAAATGCTTGCAAGAGGAACAGCAAAGTCTGGATGCCATCTGTCCGTTGTGAACACACCGCCATGAGTGACCCGCTGGCCGCTTGAACAGGTGAACCCAGGAGCACAGTCACCGAACACTCCAAGCAGCATTGCCAAGAATCTTTTCTTGGGAGTCTTCGGCCCTGTGTCTCCTACACTCACCTCTGCCTTCACTTTGAGATCCCCTTTTGCTCTATTCTGGGTGCACACATCAGGGCCTGGTAGACTGGAAGTAATTTCCTAAAAGCATCCCTTCTGTTTCTGTTAAGGTTAACCTTGGTATCTAAAATAAAAACATAGGCCTCAATCTGAAAGAAAAGCTCTGTAAGGCATACTTTTAACCTGCGTCTATGTGGGTACGCGCCTACGACATCAGAGGAAATGGTGTTTTACTGTAATACAGCTTGGCCAGTGATGATCTAGATGATGGGAAAAATAACCTTTGAATGGACTCAAAACTATTATACCATCTTACAGCTTGAATTATTAAACCACTGTGTCAGACTGTCTATTTGTTTGTAAAATTACTATGTTTTTGTCCTATATTTATGTTTAAGAAAACAACCTGGAATTCTAAGAATCTGTAAGTTATATTGCGTATATGAACTATAATGCACTTACACTGCTAATATGAAAGCCATGCAGAGGGAAAATGAATACAGATGAGGATTAGGTGAAAACTGTTCTAAACAGGCCTGCACGTGAATATACAAAAAGATACAATTGGTTACTTTTTGTGTGAAATATAGCTTTTGATTGTAACCTTGTCTTATTACAACTTTCGGTACACCAGCAGCTGCCATTAGAGAAAAATATTACTTGATCTAGTGAAACTTCCCGCCCATATTCAGCCGCTGAGAAAAGTCGTTTGGAAGTGATTTCTCTATACCATACCCTTCAAGGGACCCATTTCGGTACAGGGCCACCTGGAACTGAGGCAAGACAATACTCCCTCTGCAGATGCCCATAAAATTGAATGCGGAAGGGCAGGATATTACTGTGCACAAACTTCTTCCTCCGTCTCGGACCTGTTAAATGGGAACAATTCAAATCCTTCCTATTGAGATGTTGTTGTTCAGTGCTGTTGGGGTGGTTCTGACTTAGGGTGACCTTGTGTGAGTTGTCCAAGGAGCAGCTAGTGGGCTTGAACTGCTGACCTTGTAGTTCGGACAGACTTGGTGGTCCAGTGCACTGACCCATAGTGCCACACCAGGATGACCCAAACAAAATAACAAATTGAATAACCACTATTTTTGCTACTCATCATCCTAATTGGGCAGCTATTCAGGCTCTGTTGACAATGCTCCTGACCAGGGATGAAAAAGGCTGGTCCGAAATAAGGCATGGGACGAAACAGCACGCATCCAGGGAGGAAAAAAACCTGAACAAAACGTTACCCAAGAAGTCAAGGCAATTCCTCTAGCTGACACAATTAAAATCTAAATGGGCCTGCCACGACTGGTGGTGGTGGTAGTATGTGCCGTGGAGTCGGTTCCGACTCATAGCGACCCTGTCTGTGCAGGGTTTCTGAGGCTGTAAATCTTTGCAGGAGCGGAGGGCCTCAACTTTCTCCCATGGAACAGTTGTTAGTTTCTAACTGCTGACCTTGCAGTTCGCAGCCCAATTCGTATCCACTACGCTACAATGGAGCATTATAAAAGGAGCATTCTCAGAGGTCTGAAAAAGGGAGTTCCTAAACAAAAGAACTTGAACATGGTACAGGCAGTTCAACAGAAACCAACTGAGGACCTCTCTGAATTCTTTAAATGAATCTACCAGGCTTACTGTAAGTACACAGACCTTGATCCTGAGAACTCAGCAAATGCCCAAATGGTTAACATGATTTTTATCTCCCAAAGCACCCAGGATTTTAGAAAGAAACGGCAGAAATTCAACAGGGCAATTGGCATGAATCCATCCCAACTGGTGGACATCACCTTCGAGGTATTTAATAGCCAAGAGTGTGAGGAATCTCAGGTCGTAACTGTCTTCCTAAAAGACCCCCAGAGGTAAACCTGTGGGACCCCAGGGAATACCCTGGAAAGGAACGAGGGCCTTAAGCAAGGACTGATGTACTTATGCAAAAACCTGGACACTGAAAAATAAATAAATGCCCAAATCTCAGGGGAGGCTCTGGCAGAAAAAGCCATCTAACTCAACAGATGATTGAACAAGTTTCATCGTCTGCAGAAGACTAACGGTGTCAGGGATGATGATTTGGCATCAACGTCTGCCACCCCTATTGCCCCCACTCCCAGGACCTCAGCTGAAAATAACAAGGGGGAAACAGTGATGGTGACTGAGATCTCAGGGAGGCCTGAGGCCCAGTTCTTCCTGAAACCCCGGGACTGCTTCAATGGGGAAAAGAAAATAACCGTCTGGTCCCCTTACTGGGCCAGGACCTGCTTCCAAAATTGCATGTTCAAACAACTTTCTGAAACCCAAAGTCTGCAGATGGAGGTTCCTCATGAATATGACTGGCAATTACTGATTCAAACTCCAGAAACCAGTCACATTGGCCTAAGGAGATTGACAATCAGGTAAACCCCTCTCGTATGGACTAGCGGAACTCCAGGAAGAGTCAACAAGCATCCTCCATTGAGGTCTGACTGAAGCCTGGAAACTGACCATCCCACAAAAACCAGTAATAGCCTCTCAGGAATGAGGCTGAGAAATTCACTCTGGCCAGCTCGTCTCCATCCCCATCCGGCCGTCTCCCTGCTGCAAAGGAAGGGAAGCCTATGGCTCACAACAAGACGGAGAGGCAATACCAGGTTATTTTACTGGACAATCTGAATATTACCCTGTGAATTATGAGGCAACCAAACCTGCCATCCTCCTCCCTGATGTGGCAACTGGAGGACTGAACCATGATTGTATAAAAATCACTGACCCAGGATTCTTCAGCCAACCTGACCTGTCTGACTATATCTGGTGGACTAGACATTGTTTGTGAATAGAAGTAGTTACATGGAAAAAGGGACTCGGATAGCAGGGTGTGTAACTGTAATCTTACAAGACCAAGACCGGGTAGAGGCAATAGCCCTCCTGCTGGGGATCTCTGCTCAAAAAGCTGAACTGAATGTACTGATGAGGGCATTAGAAATGTTGGCAAGAAAAACTGAATGTGTACCCAGAGGACTTGAGTAGATACTGAGGCAGAAGGATTAGAGAAAGGGGTTAAAGGATGAAAAGGAGATGACAATGGAATTGTTCTCGATCTGAGAAGTTAAAAGCTAAAAAGTAAATGGCTTTTTAATAGAATGGTTCTGATCCTGCAAAAATTAGCACCTGTTCTTCTTAAACGAGTCCATGAAATGACCCACTACAGGACAGGCCTTGGCTTGGTTCATTAGGCCCCCGGCTCTAGGACAAGAACTTTTCAAAAAAATCATTCAGGAGGTTAGCTCTGTTTTATCTGCCTCAAGAACAATCCCAAACACTCCTGCATTGCTGGTGGGAATGCAAAATGGTCCAACCTCTCTGGAAAGCACTATGGCGCTCCCTCAGAAGGTTGGAAATAGAAATACCTTATGATCCAGCAATTCCTCTACTTGCTATTTATTTACCCACAAGAAATACAAGCCATAACACGAGTAGAAATATGCACATCAATGTTCATAGCAGTACTATTTACAATAGCAGAAAGATGGAGACAGCCTAAGTGCCCATCAACTAAAGAATGAACAAACAAACTGTGGTACATACACACAATGGAATATTATACTACCTTGAAGAAGAACAAGGAAGCTGCAAGCCACCGCATAACATGGATGAAACTTGAGGACATTATGTTGAGTGAAATTAGTCAGTCGTAAAAGGAGAAATACGGCATAGGACCACTACTGTAAAAGACTAAGAAACAGAACCCATACTAAAGGGAGGGGGATCCTTTGCTTGTTACTGGGATGTGGAGGGTGAGGTGAGGGAAGGGAGGGGAAGGTGGAGCACAGGGTAGGGA